AAGGGGAGAGCTGCAGCAAAATAGAAAAACTCAGGATGTGAATCCCATCATTAATGTTTAACAACGTGCACTTCTATGGTAGAGTCATACAGCACAGAAACAGACCCTTTGGTCCAACCAATCCATGCTGACCATAATCCCAAACTAAACTAGTCCCACTTGGCTACACGTAGCCCATATCCCTCCAAACATTTCCTACTCTTGTACTTTTACCAGAATAAAATATCCCAAGGTAATTCATTAAGTTCAGTTAGACAAAAATTGCTCTGCAACTAACGATGAAGAAACAGATCGGAAGTCACAGTACACCAGGTTATAGTCCAACAGGTTTATATGAAATTACAAGCTTTCTGAGCACTGCTCCTTCATCAAGTGAAGTGGAGGGAGGCACACAGGCACAGAATATATAGGCAGAGAGATAATAGCAAGATAATTCCAGGTAATTAAGAATGTCAACAGTTAAGTGGAAATAGTGCGAGTGGAGTGTCAACAGGCTGAACAACAAGTCTTTGCAGGTGATCAAAAGTGTCAAACACTGAGTAAAGTGTCAACGGCTGCATACTAAGTGAAGGGATGAACTATGAAACAAATAATCAAAATTAAGATGGTGTTAGAGACAAACCAAATGGCTGGAATAACATAAATAAGGTATCAGACATATGGCAAGGGTCTAACCAAAGTAACAAGTAATAAAAATCTACACAAACTGATTTAGGTAGAGAGATAATAACAAGTAATCAAGATAGGAGGAAGGATGAAGGTAAAGAGCTGGGGTGAGAAAAGTCAGAGTGGATAAGAAGCCAGAGAGAAGACTGGACAAGAGCTTCAAAATAGCCAGTTTGAGTTAAGGAAGGGTTTGATCGCATAGCATTTTATCATGTGAACAAAGCTGTTAAATTTCAATACACTGGGGAATGAGGAGGCAATTAATTTGATTAGCAATAGATGATCATCTAGTACAGAATGGGACACTCCCATTTGATCTTAGCCAAACTAATCTTTGTGTGGGGTGCTGAGGAATTAAATCTATTGGTGACAAAGCCTGAAACCTTGGCTCTAATGAACATGAGATTTAAGCAGAGGAGGTGAAAATAGTTCTTTATGGCGGCAGGTGGCAAACTGATGAACAAACCAAACGCAAGTTATTTCTATCCCACATCTGCACACAGCAATACTTTGCATAGATTTGCAATTTACTTTACATAGACACCTGTGTCTCACCACTGGCCTGTTTTTCCTTCCAGCTTTCCCAGACATTTTCTCTAAATCAAAGTGGTGCTTTGGGAAAGGAAAAATTCAAATCAAAGTTCTAAGGAACAACACTATCTAGGTTTTCATTAAACCGGGTGACAGTATAATAAGAAAATGTCCAGTGAGCAGTTAATATTATCCAGTTTTCTGGAACCCACATGTTCGTCTAGTTGAAAGCACTGCACAATTTAATTTTTGATAACAGTACAGGTAAAATTGGGTGTTGTGGAGATGGCATAATTGTTAATTTTCATATCAACTCCACAATTTCAATATTCAATACAATAAGCATTTCATATACACAAAACATCTATGTCTACACACTCACTATTAGACCATTCCTTAATAATTCATTAATACTTGCTACTATCATGTGTATTAATTGTTCCGTTCTCCCAAGCTTGCAAATTCAAAGACTAAAGGTTTCTCTTCACACCTTTATTCCTGCTTCACAACATACTTTTTCCCATCCAATAAACCTGAAGTTCTAGCAAGGCTCAAGGGGCCAAATAAGGAGGTAGCAATTTCAAGACCTATAATGCACAAACTAGAAAACAACTTCAGGAACATGTCCCGGTGCCAACACGAAGATGTTATTAAACTGGAAAGAGCACAAAAAAGATTTACAAGGATGCTGCCCAGATTGGAAGGTTTGATTTATAAGAACAGGCTGGGACTTTTTTTTGTATGAAGCATGGGAGGCTAAGGGGTGACCTTATAGGGGTTTATAAAATCATGAGGGGCATAGATGAAGTAAATAGCCAAGATCTTTTCCCCAGGGTCAGAAGGTCCAAAATTGGAGGGCATAGGTTAAAGGTGAGAGGGGTAAAGGTTTAAAAGGGACTTGAGGGGCAACATTTTCCACAGAAGGTGGTGCACATACGGAACGAATTGCCAGAAGAAAGTGTTAGAGGCAGGTACAATTGTAACATTTAAAAGACTTTTGGACAGATAGATGGACAGGAAAGGTTTAGAAGACTATGGGCCAAATACAAACAAGTGGGACTAGTTCAGTTTATGAAACCTGGTCAGCACGGACGAGTTGCGCCAAAGGGTCCATTTCCATGCTGTATGATTCTATTCCATCTTCAACCAATTGCATATCTAAATCCACCTGGTACCTCTTCCAGTTTGTTCTGTGGAACCCTGTCAAACCTAAATTTCTGTGTTACAATGAGCAAATAAACTCACTTTGGAATGGTCCAACAACAAAAACTATTTTTTTCATATTTTCATACCTAAAGAGCAAAGTTGCCATAGTCTTACCAGTACATAGTGCACGCTTTCATTAAAGAGAGGCGATTAGTTGTGGCTTAAACGGAGGGTACCACACATCAGGCAAGGGAAGATGCCAAGAAGAATCATCCTTTATGGTAACCTCAGCCAGTACAGGAACTGAATGCACATTGTTATGTATCACTGTATTACAAACCAGCCATCCAGTCAACTGAGCTCGCGCTTTCATGCCTATGCCACATCAACTCTTCTGCACATGAATTTAAACTTTGCAATAAATAATCTAATATGGTATTCAATTGAGAAAACTTGTGTTAAACCTACAAGTTCTGCTGAAATAAAGTACACAAACATGCTCACTGCAATGACCATACATTCAAATGGACTATTGATGAACCCTGGCTGGGATGATTCTCAGTTTCTTCGGGCAATCTGCCAATACCCACTCTTGTCTGTCACAGTGCTCAATAAATAGCTGGGGTGAGACACACCGAAGATCATTGCTGAATTAAGCTAAGAACATTCTTCCAGAAAATTATTTGTAGTTTACAAATAATAATAGTATGCAAATTGAGACAGTTAACTATTACAAGCCCAAGCAACTTATATTTGAGACTATGTGAATTAGTAAACAGAAATGTTTAACATTCCACCAACTGTGAACATAGAACAGTACAGCACAGGCCAGGCCCTTCGGCCCACAATGTTGTGCCGAACTTTTACCTAATCCTAAGGTCTATCTAACCTCCACCCCTACGTTATACTATCATCCATATGCCTATCTAATAGCCGCTTAAATGCCCCTAATGAGGCTAATTCCACTATCCTCTCCAGCAATGGTTAAGAAACACTACATATGTTACTAAGCATCAATCACTGACTGATTTTTTTTCAAATAGACGTCCCTAAATTTATGTTTATCCTCCATTTCTTTTGGCAAAAAAATTAAGTACACACTTTTGCATGCCAAAGTTTAACAGGATCCCCATGGAGAGCATATGTTCAACATTAATATCAGCAGAATCATGGTTTCCAAGAATATTCATGAGTTATCTTTGTTAACCGCACTGCGTGAACACTTGCCAATTTATTTTTTTTAAAAAGGTGAAAAGATCCCACATTATGATCCAATGAAGTTCTAAGCCATAGGATGTTGCAGGTTCAATCACCAGTCTGTATTGATCCAGTCAGGGCAACAGTTGGGACTACTTTATGCTACATTTCAATCTTTGTTAAAATTTGCAGCACAGGCCCAAGCTAAGCCAACATAAATTAGTCAAGAATCTCCCTCAATTATCTGGTGAATCCATGTAGAAAAGCTGGACAAGACAACATTGAGTTTGGTGCATGACCCACCTGTACTGATGTCACATGCATAAGAATGGGTAATTAGCAAGGTATTTATTAGCATCATATCAGATCTTCACAAAAGACAAAACCTCGGGATAAGAAAACTGCATGCGAAAAGGTCAGATCAACCAGATAAATTAAACCCTCTCCAAAAGGAAATTGCTTTCTGAAATGGTAGTAATAGCATGAATAAATCTAATGCTGCAGTTAACTTCAGTACATCATGTCACATGGTGCTGATAACCAGCCCATACCTTGAACATTTTTATTTCTGCTAACATACCCACTCACGAAAAAAAAATTTACATAATCAAGGTCAAGGTTCACAAACGTCTCTGCATTAAAAAGCTTCTGCACACTTAATTCAAGGTCAACGCTTGCAAAGTGAGACTGTTCTATGCTAGTTTTAACTTACTGTAAGTATAGAAAACATGATCCAAAAGAATGAAACTGCTGAAAAGCAGCGATGAGACTGAATTCTGTGTTTTCTACCGCAAGGTTTAAAAGTAACGGGTCGCTGACTGTAAAGTAACATCAACAAACTGAAGGCTTTTTTGTGTTTTAGCCCCTACATCTGATCGATGCGAACAGCCCACTAGTCGCACGTTTTGCTCACCCACTTTCTCCCTGGTTTACGTGGCTCATCCAGTTACTCGACACCCCTCCTGACATTAGGAAACAGATTTAGTCCCAGAGTATTCTCAAATACATTAGCTACAGACACGAGTTTTCTCTCTCCTCCCGCCCGTGTACTTCAGCTATTTTTAAATTCCCTCCAGTGATCACACGTGAACCCCCTCCGGACTCTGGAGAACACAGTAACTTCTATGGTTTCTCTAACAACACTTACCGCCCTCCCCAACCCCATTCCTTGTCAAAACTCCGTCCCTCGCTGATTCAAAGCCATAACTTTCCGCTTGTGGAGGCAAAGGAGATTAGACGGAGAATTTCCGCCTTTTTGCTTAAATTAAATTAAATCAAATCAAGTCATTTTCGGGGGGTTTCGAAGCTCAAAAACTGATGTGTTTTTATGCCAACACCCCCCCACCCCGACACACACTTTTTGCACACCGTGTCAGTCGCCCCCATCGTGTGCCCATGCCACACGGAAAACATTTTTCTTTTCCTGCCTCCCACCCGAGTGGTGACGGTGTCTCACCCACCAGTTTGACAATGCCTCGTTGAAGTGGCAGGGCCGGAGCCGCTGACTGAGTTTGAGAAGGAGTAGCTGCTGCTGCTGCTGCTGTCGCCATCGTGCCTAATCGAAGCGATGAGTGAACCGGAAAGAGAAAACGCAGCGGGGGGGCCCCGCGCGCTGTATACACAGAACCGCGCGTCTCCGGGTAACTGCTTCCGGGGCGGCAGCGCCGTGAACGGAAATGACGTCACGGTTACTATGGAGACATTGCTGGGCGGTGGATTTGGACACGTCAGCTCAAGCAGAAAGGAGTACGGATGTGTGTGTGAGAGAGAAAAAAAATGATTTGCTTTTACAAAGCGCCTTACATGTTCTCTGGTTTACCGGAAGCCCGTTACAACAAATGAAACATATTTAATGTGTCAGTCCATGTTGGAATGGAGAAAATTAGTGGCTGTTTTCTTTAAGGAACAATCGGTTAATGCTTCAAACCTCAGAGGTGCAGCACAACCATGTGGTCTAATGAGTCCATGCCGACACATGTGCTCCACTCGAGCTGTTCCCCACTTCTGTTCATTTAAGTCAACCGTCTTAAACGATCTGAAACTCTGCAGGTTTGGCGACTGGACTGGACACGTTAACAGCTCCTCTGTCCCCTACATATGCTACCAGACCTGCTAAGTTTCTCCAGCATTTCATGTTTGTGTTTCAGATTTCTCGCATTCGCATTCTTTGTTTTTATTTTTTTTGTCCGAACGATCCTTTCGCTTTTTCCTCATACCTTTTTGGGCTACGCCTGACGTATTATAGCTGTATTACACTGTTGCAGCAAGTGCGACATTCTGGCCACTCGAGTGAAGAAGTTTCTTTAGATTTCCTGTTGAATTTCATTGTAACCAATATATTTATGGTTTCTAGATATATTCTTCCCCACATGAATAAATTCTGCTCCATGTATTTTGCTCAAAATTAGACTCACTGCTCAATTGAAGCCATTGATATTCCGAAACAAATCTCTGCCATGATTGTGCTCTCCCCGTGCCACATCCTGAACCTAGGTGGCTGTTACCAACCATCTATTTGCATTGACTCTAGTCTTAGCTGCAACCGGGTCCTGTTCGATTTTTTAGTGTGCGACAGCGCAAAAAATTGTTTTCAAATATGTGATTCTCCAAGTAGAAATTAGATGTTGCCATTAACAATGCCCACCGTTATCCATTTGCGTATACATTTGTGTGTAGAATACTTGGTAAAAGACATTATTAAAAGTAAATAGCCATCGTGGTTGATACAGACCAGAAAGCCACAGAATGTTAAATGGTACATTAGTATTTGGAGTATTATGGTTGATATTCCACGACTCTGTCACTTCAGTTAGCCAGCTTAGCTCTGAGCTATGGAAGTAATTGATGGATCATAATAGGAATCCACATTACTTCATGTGACTGGATCTCTATACTGCTGATAGATATTGTGGTCATTTGTATATCAAACCTAAGATTAGGTGATTAATTTGATAAATGGTGCTTTGCGGTTTGGTCAAAGTTTAAAAGCATCTCCGATTTTTTTTCATTTGCGAGTGATGTTCCACCTAGCGGTAGCATTTGAAAAAACACAACCAAACATTTTATCCTGTTGCTGGAACTGCAAACTGATCACGCAGTAAATGGGACCACAACAAGCTAGTCTATTCATTAATCATTTAGGTTTAAGAAATGAAAAAAAAACTAAAGGAATGTGATTTTCTGAAGAAGGGTCTAGGCCCGAGACGTCAGCCTTCCTGCTCCTCTGATGCTGCTTGACCTGCTGTGTTCATCCAGCTCTACACCTTGTTATCTCAGATTCTCCAGCATCTGCAGTTCCTGCTATCTCTAAAGGAATCCACTTAACATTTTTCACAAACAACAAATGCATTTTACAAACAATAAAGTACGTTTGAAATATCAATGTTGCAACCTGGGAAACAGTGCGGCCAATTTATGCATTGCAAGATCGCAGTGGCAGCAATGTGATAATGACTTGTCCATAGCTTGCTGAGGGGGCAGGACAGAGTTAATAGGTTAGTTTAGAATGCATAAAGGACACTTGTCTTAAATTATAACAGCATTGAGGTTATGTTGGAGCTGTGCACTAGTTTGATTAGGCCACAGCTGGACTACCATGTGCAGTTCTGGCCATCACATTATAGGAAAGATGTGGTTGCACTGGAGAGGTGCAGAGGAGATTCACCAGGATGCTGCCTGGGGTGGAGTATTTTAGCTATGAAGTGAGGATGGTTGGTCTCAGATTGTTTTCTGTAAAGCAGAGAAAGCTGAGAAGGGTACATGATTGAGGTGTATACTATAATGAGAGGCATGGACAGGGTGAGTAGAAAACAGCTGTTCCCTTAGTTGAAGGGTTAATAAAAAGGGGCATAATTTTAAGGTGAAAGGCACAAGATTTAGAGGGGAGTTGAGGAAAAGGTTTTTAACACAGAGGATGGTGGTAATCTAGAGTGCACTGCCTGGAAGGATAGTTGAGGCAGGAAACCCCAAAACCTTTAAACAGTACTTGGATGAACACTTGAACAGCATAGTGTTCAAGGCTGTGGACCAAGTGCTGGAAAATGGTTTAGAGTAGTTTTTGTCAGCGCAGACTCAATGGGCCAAAGGGCCTCTTCTGAACTGTATGGTTATGATTCTATGCCTTAATATGCTTTTTTGTGATGTTGATTGAAAAATAAACATCAGTCAGGATAATGGCTCTGTTTTGAAATAGTATAATGGAACCTTTTATAACCAGAAAGGGAATGATATGAATGAGTGAATTGGAGTAACAGTATGTACAAAGTGAGAAATAGAAAAAGTAAAATTAAAATAAAAGAAAAAAAAACTAAAATGAAATCAGAGATAGTAAGACCTGCCGATGCTGGAGTCAGAGATAACACAGTGTGGAGCTGGAGGAGCACAGCAGGCCAGGCAGCATCAGAAGAGTAGAAAAGATGACGTTTTGGGTCGGGACCCTTGTGTTGAATTTTTTTCATCTGGAGAATTTATGGCATACAAGATTATGACTCAGTAGTTTAAATCAGAGCCACAGTATTTTTCAGGACTTAGTCTTATGAGTTTGCCTCGTAATATTTCTCTGATGATACTATTAGTAAAATTTTTTTTAATTTTGAATAACATCCTTAAACTTCTCTAGTTAGCCATGGACAATTCATTCTTCTTGTAGAGTATTTCTTTACCACTTAAATATATCTTCATTGAGAATTATGATATCTTGCCTTACATTTCTGCCACTGCTTATCTACTATACTACTTTTCAATCTATTTTCCCAAAACCCAAGATCATTTCTCACCTCAGTACTGATGTCATTCTTTATTTAAAAAAGTGATGCCCATCTCCTTTTTCTTTCTGCTTATCTTCTGAAATGTTAACTACTTGTAAATGTTCAGTTCCCAGCTTTGGTCACGTTGAAACAAGTAGAAATTAGATTAGACTTATTTCATGAACAAAAACAGAAGTTGCTGCAAAAGTTCAGCAAGTCTGGCAGCACCTGTGAAGAAAAAAAGAATTAACGTTTCGGGTCCGGTGACCCTTCCTCGGAACCGATGGTAGCTGGAAAAACATTGGTTTATATGCAGAAAATAGGGAGTAAACAATAGGATAAGGGGTAGAGCCAAAGAGAGAGAAGAGCAGTTGGATAGACAAAGGAGCTGATAATGTTCTAGCTAGGATAGTGCATAGCTGTTAAATGGTGACTGTTAATGACTAACAATGGGTAGTGTGTAATGGCAGGCTATGTGATAACAGGGTCTGGTGTGTGGA